GATTGTTTTTTCAACAAAATGTCAATTATAACCTTGAGGCATATTGTGATTCTGATTGGGCTGCATGCCTAATCACAAGGCGATCTGTCAGTGGATACTTTATCATGTTTGGAAATAGTCCTATTGCATGGAAATCAAAGAAGCGGATTACCATTTCTTTATCCTCAGCAGATGTTGAATTTCAGTCTATGAGAAGATTTGTTGCTAAATTGGCTTGGTTAAGTCGACTTTTCCATGAAATTCAAGTACAAAATATTACCCCGATACCCCTCAAATGTGATAATCAAACAACTATATATAGCTCTAATCTAGTTTTTCACGAGAGAACAAAACATATTGACATCGATTGTCATTTTGTTAGAGAAAAACTTAAAAGTGTCCTTATATCTTTATCACATGTTTCAACAAATCAGGAGTTAGTAGTAGTATTCAATGTTGTCAGAAGCATTAAGAACAAGAGGATATCATCACTCACCTAATGGTTACTCTTTGTTTCTTAAAACCATATCCACCAGCTTGAAGGGGGGTGTTATCATTCAGTATTCATTGCTCTGTGTACTCTTTGTTAGAGAATTTGTTAGTTTCAGTTATTTAGTTATTCATTACAAGTTTGTTTAAGTTCTTGTATATATGTAATGAATATCTCATTCAGACGAATTAATGAAAATATTCTCTCTCAAAACACATTTCTCTTTCTAGATCTCAAATCTAATAATTATTGTGTTTCCTACTTAATTAACTTCATGTCACTTTCCATCTAAATTAGTAATGGTTTGTAATTTTAGCTTTTGTAATTAGGACTCTCCCTCCCTTTCAACATCAAAAGTGCCAAAAGATATTTATTCAACAATCAACATTTCCTGTTCGCCCCTTAGGTTAATTATTCCATCCATGTTATATACAATTGATCAAAATTCTTTATATTACAACAGAAATTGGGATCATCAACGACATTGAGTTATTAAATGGACATTATGAAAGATACCAAAATTGTCTATACCTAATAAACCTACATCATTCGATTTACGGGGAGGATCATGGAGTGCAACCAGTGCTGCAACTAGACCAGCATTGCTCGAAATGGTAGGTTCAGTGAACCATGGTTTATGCCTGTCGTCTAAAAACATATCATTTTGATCGGGTCCTCCAACCATAGCTCCTAAAAGTTCATTAGGATTTGGTTCTTCTGAGTTCAACCACGTAGTCCCTTGGGCACAAGAATGCCACTGATTATCCCATGGGATTGATGCAGCCCTATGGTGGACATGCTGCGGGTAGTTGTTTCCAAATCCCACCATGTAGCTCATTCCCATCGGATTGTCTCCAAGTATGTAATTAACCTAAAACAAGATCATACACACACACAAAAATAAGAAGTAAATAAAGATCACTGATTATTAACGAAGATTCGTTGATACTATATGAGCAACAAACATCATTAAGATTCTTTTCTTCAACAAGTTGAAGTACATTGATTGCTTTAACTACTTGCCTGAGATATAGAGAAATCCCGCAGCTGTTGAAGGGAAAATTCAGCACCATCAATGCAACCACTACCAGATCTATGCAGAAGATCAAGATAGTCGCTATACAGTTTGCTAAGAAAGGAACTCGTGGCGGCATACTCAAGTGATCCATAGTCATTCGGCTTTAAGAATATCAATCCACCTATTTGTATTACAACAAAATGGTAAGAGCAATCACACATTTTGAGCTTCATCCATATATATGGATATAACATAGATCATATGTTATACGTACCTTGTGTTTTATGTGTAGTAGGAGACAAATACGAACACATGAGCGAGTCAACATTGTTAGTTGATAATATGAAGGATTCTTCATATGGGTATCCAAGATCAAAGAAGAATCTGAGTCTTGTTAACAAAACCTGTAGACAAAAGGTAAAAACCAGTACTTATAAAGCACGGAAGACCAATGATCAATCTACAAGCATAAGATAAGATAGGAATAGGATTACTAACATACCTCAATTGCAGTGAGCTTGTTATTCCAATAGAAAATGCCTTTATCGACCGATAGTTCTTCATTTTGGGCTGAAACAAGATGTTCTGTAGCGTATCTAAGATAACTCGTATTTCCAGTAGCGAAAAACAACCAAGTCCCTCCCCATACTAACTCATCCATGTATCCTGTTGAGTTATAAAACCCTCTTGCTTCTCCCCCACAATCATCTTTCATCGTATAAGTACCTTGAATAAACCCCCGGCCGGGCTCTTCCTCTACGTTTGCCACCACACTGAATAACTCCGTCGCCGTTTTGGTTAAACTGATTGAATATTTTTGGTCTTCCTTGAACACTAATGATGCTGCTGAAAGTGCTGCAATAATTTCTCCGGCCAAATCGGAAGCCGAATCATCACAACTAAAAACCGGCCTCGAATATCTCATATCCTCCGGTCGTTGCCAACAATTGAGATCGTTTTCAGGCGACGTGCTGTTCGATGTGCTCCCGACCTTACAAGAAAAAATCATCACGCTTACATTAATTATCAACTTTTCGAGTAGCATAAGTCATGTTGCAGACTGCAATCAATCGTTTTGAGGGTACCTGTGAAAACAGAGTACTTGAACCAGTAGAGGTTTGATTTGCGGGGATGAAAAGTTTGAGCAAATAGTCACTCCCCCATTTGATTATGTTCTTGATGTGATCGAGTTCACCGATATCTTCATATTTCTGATGATATTCAATCACAGACCAACTCAACAGAGTGATCGTATAAGCCGTTGGAAAGCTAAATTTGATGTTGTTCCCAGAGTCGTAAAATCCACCAACAAGACTTGAATTCCCATCTTCCGATCCAGAATCACCTCGAAACTTCACCATATTAATGTCTTTGGGCAATACCCCAGCTGCCAAAACAAAAACCCAACAAATTAAAGTAAGAAAAAGGTCACATAGCAATCATTACATAGAGAATAATTTCGTATACATTTCTGAGCATCGAAGAAAAGCAATGCGTTTTGAAGCGCTAGTGTTAGGTCTTTTGGGGCGGCATGTTGATTTTTGTTGTGTAGCAGGAAATGCAGCAACAAAGATACAAGTAGGATGAGGAAAACGATGGCTCCGGCGGCGTAAACAAAACGTTTGAAGTGGGTTTTATTGGTGATGGTTAGTTTGAAATCGACGGATTTGGAATATCGTGAAGGTAGTGATCCGTAGGTAGAAGGGTCTCGAGCATGAGGAAACAGGTTGAAGTCGACTTCTATGGAATTCCATCGGCTGGACGACGGGAGAAGGCGGCCAGCTTGAGAGATGGAGTGGACGTAAAGCTGTTCGCTGTTTTCAGTGTCGGTGTCCATCGGAGATCCAATGTAGAAGGAGGAGGAGGAGGAGGAAAGTTCAGGTTCAGACATGGTGTTTTATGAGCAAAAGAAGAAATATGCTTTCGGTGATGCTTTGAATTCTTCGTCAACAATCGGCATTGGAAATTGCTCTCGTATTACTGAGAACTTTTGTTCTATCGGTTGATCCAATTTTTTTAGAAAAAATTTATTGGTCATAAATGTAAAACTCATTTCCGTCGATAAAACCAAATAACTGTTTGGATCATATTAGATGTTTAAAAATATTAATAAGGGTAAGGGGTATGGTTACCACCAGCCTACTCAAAAAGTCACGCCACATCACCTCCACTACTAACCCACTAACCCTTGGAAATGGTTACCACTCAACATCATTTTTATTTTTCTTTTTTATATTTTTTTGACAATATTAGCTTAAAGAAAAGAAAGAAAAAGAAACGGTCAAAAAAATGGTCCACCAATCGCATTCGTCGTCTTCCTCCGTAGCCAGCTTCACGTCACAAGACACCTACCCCCCATTGGGGCGGTGTTCACGCGTGGCTAGGGCTGCCACGTAGGCAGCACGCGTAGCCTTCCTGGCTTGATACCGGATAGCCTAAGAACTCATTATCTGCTAATCTTTCCTTCAGTTTTTTGGCTCGAGGGATTTTCGGAAACCAGATTTGATTCGGTTCGATCTAGTTTAAAATCAAAAATAAACTGGTGTTTATAATAAAAAATTTAGATTTAAATGAACAATAACGTTATTTTAAGATTATGTTTAAAAAAAAATTTAAGACAAACCTATATGTATCTCGTTCATATTTGATTTTGTTTTTTGCTTAATTGATTCATATGTTTGGTTTGGTTTGGTACTTTCATCCCTATCCATAAATATAATAGCACTTTTTGTTGGGTGCATGACATACGTATGAATGACTTGTTTGGTCATGCATTGTGAACGGGTTTTTTTAACGTTAAAAAACTAGCAGCTTCAGATATTTTGCTTTAAAACGTATTCGGAGAAACGATTAGTGGTGAAATTTATAAACAAATTTAAAAAAAATGGAGGAGGCACAAGAACTTTTTTTTTTTTTTTTTTGAGTTCTTATTAATATTTTTTTAAACACCTATGGATTATAGAGGAGCAACCAAACAACCGAACATGTTAGCCATTTGTGACGTAAGTCATTGATCATTTAAAAGAACGTATAATCGCATTTCCTAGTTGGTAAAATTAAGTTCGTAACCTAAATGTTAATTCACTTCATTTGCATATATGTGTGGTTTACATGATTTTAAAAAACAAGTCATATCAAAGATGTCAAATATAATGATTCTTAGACTAAACGGAGTGGCACTCGTCAAGCCACTCGCTTTACTCGCCAAAAATGTAGAACACCACCCCCTAGCTCTCGCTAGGGGGCTCGCCAAATAAAACACGCCAAGCACAAAGCGAGAAGAAAGAGAGAGCACTATGAGGTTTTGATTGGCTGAAATGAATTGTTTAGGATTGCATGTTGAAACTTTAACGTATTTAATTCTTGATTCCATCCAAATTAATTTATGCATTAATATCTCAACAACAATTTATCCATCCAAATTAATATCTCAACAATTTATGATTTAATTACAAAAAAAAATAAT